CTAGCTGACAGGTGCAGGGAGAAGGAGGGGCCGAGGACGGGACCAGCAGCACTGTGCCCAGGCCAGAGGATGGGACAGCACTGCGTGGGTACTACTTGGTGTCATCTTCGGGCAACTCCGGGGGAGGCACCACCACTGCACCCACGTTCCCGAGGACAAAGTGACTGCCCAGCTGGCAAGTGGCAGAGCTGGGCTGTCTGCCCCGGCAGCACAGCCTGCACCCCTCGCTGTGACCAACAGGAGCAGCCCAGCCCGAGACAGGGCACCCTGCATTCCGTCTGGGAGGTCTCCATGTCATTATCTGTCAACCCCGATGACATTAGTGGGGTTCAAGCCTCCGTCCAGCTCCTTCCTGGGCCCTCCAGGTGTTGGAAATATCTGGTTTAAGTGGCCCGCAGACCACAGCGAGTGAGAGGGGGCAGGGGGGCCAGCAGCTCCCTCACTTCTCAGCATCCTGGGGTTGGAATGTGGACGGACACCAGTTTCCAAAAGTTCTTTACGGACAGCACCTGCTGTGGCGCCGCAGGCAGCCGGGCTGATGTACTTGTTGAAAAAGAGACGGAAAACCGAGACACTCATTAATTTTCACAGCCCAGCTCTGGAGACAGAGGGGTCATCACAAGCTGGGGGGGCTGGGCATCAGAATGGCCTGTTCCTCTGCCTGTTTCTACCAACCCCCTTTCTGTTTTACGCTGGAGATCCAAAAGGAGGTGGGATCACCCCTTTCTCTAATCTCCCTTGGTTGCAATTAGCTTATGTTACCACTTCAATATCTTCTTAAAGATCTTATGCGACAAGCATTTAAAGGAAGATAGATGGACTTGGCTGGAACTGCTGATGATGGCGAAGGGGAGTCTGCCTGGCAGGTGCTCGGAAGCCCAGAGAACTCTGATCGGTGTTCCTGTGCGAATGAGCAAGGGTCCTGCCGTCAGCGGGAAAAGGATGCTCCGAGTGATGGGCCAACCAGGAGCACAGGTGTTCGAGTGAAGGAAAATCCCACTGGGCCGTCAGGTGGTAGGAAGACATGTTCCAAGAGGGGGAAAGGGGCCTGTGCAGAGGGACCCAAGGTCCCACTGCGCTGAGCACATTAGAGATGTGGGTCAGGTGTAGCCTTCGACCATCAGATTAGGACTGCCCTGAAGACAGGCAGCCAGCCCGAAACACAGTTGTGTTTGTGCTGAAGGCGAGAACAAAGGCAGAGGAGCCTGCAGCCCCTCAGGCGGTGCGGGACAGGGCTGGGGACATAGGGAGAGACAGGCAGTAGGGGGCCAAGTCTCTCGCTAGCCCGGGGGGTGCAGAGGCCTGGGCTCCAAGTGCTGGCCACAGGGCTCAGCCACGGGAGAGACCCAGAAGCTCCAGGGAGGGGCGGTGGGTCAGGGCCCACAGTCTCCGTGGGACAGTCCCACGGAGACTGATGCTGGTCTCTGAGGAATCCAGGGAGCGTGATCTGGGGCTCCAAGTCGCAACAGGGCCAGGCCAGGTGAAAGACAAGCATTGTGCGAAGGGCCCACAGGCTGAGCACGCCTGGGGCTCGGCTCCTGCCTGGAAGGGGGAGCAGTCACAGGTGGGGGGAGGGGCTGTTCCCAACTAGAAACTTGTTGACATTTTAACAACTTTCAGGCATTGCTCTTCCCTTTCAGTTCCCTCTCTGGTTGCCTCGCTTTAGAATAGAAACAACTTCGCAAATGGCTGTTTGCTTATTAAGACCTGGGAACCTGCTGCAGATCAGAGGAGGGACCAGAACACAGCAGCCAGAGTGGTCGAGGGTGGTCCCGGCAGAGAGCTGTGAAGGGGGCTTGCCCCAGGGAACCCCCAGACCAGGCAGGGACCAGCCAGAGAGCTGTGAGGGGGACTGTGCCCCAGGGAACCCCCAGACCAGGCAGGGACCAGCCAGAGAGCTGTGAGGGGGACTGTGCCCCAGGGAACCCCCAGACCTGGCAGGGACCAGCCAGAGAGCTGTGAGGGGGACTGTGCCCCAGGGAACCCCCAGACCAGGCAGGGACCAGCCAGAGAGCTGTGAGGGGGACTGTGCCCCAGGGAACCCCCAGACCAGGCAGGGACCAGCCAGAGAGCTGTGAGGGGGACTGTGCCCCAGGGAACCCCCAGACCAGGCAGGGCACTGGCAGAGGTGGTCCCTTTCATCAGGCCTGAGGAACCCCAGGGCTTCTCACCAAACCCAAGCCCCGGCCCAGGCCTGGGGCTCATACAAAGGCTCCACTCTGCCTCATGGGCAGGGTCAGCAAACCACAGCTGGATGTGCACCAGGCCGGAGCCCCTCAGACTCCCCATGCCACGTGCACTGCCCCGTCATGCCCTGAGCGCCCACAAAGCACACCTGTCTCTGTAGGTGGGGGGAGGAAGGAGCAGGTGCCAGGCCCGGCCAGGGGGAGCTGAGGGAAGAAGCAAGCAAACCTCTGGGCACAGATACAGAGACCCAACGCCTGCAGAGGAGTCCTCGGGCAGGGTCCCAGCTCTCCAGATTTGGGGACCTGGCTCCCACTTCCTCCTCCTTCACCTGGTGCCGAGGGGGGCTGGTCCCATGTGTGCTCCTTGGCAAGTGGAGGCGCAGGCAATGGGGACAGTGTGGGGATGCTGCTGGTGGCACCCCTGCCTTTCAGCAGATCCTAACCTGGGTCATCCTAAGGTTACCGGGTCCAGAAAGGACCCCTCCCCCCAAAGCCAGTCTTCTCAGAGGAGGCGAATCTACTCATAGGCCCACCCGCGACCGGCACCACAGCCCTTCCCACCGGCCGGGCCTGCAGCGTCCTCCTGTCTGGAGCAAGGTGCCCTGCTTGGTTGCTTTAACTATGGTGCCCTGCCAGGGCCCAGGTCCAGTGCTTGGCACAGGCCAGGGAGCCATTTCTCAGTGGGACTGTGTCATGAATGGTACATTCACCCTGGACCCCAGCACTCGGCACGTAGCAGCTGCTCAATCAGTGACTGGCCTTGTCCCGTTTGGTTCTTCCAACAGGAGCCCTACAGCACACCCATGTGACAGTCGAGAAACAGTGGCATGGAGGTTAAGTGACTCACCCAGGGCCACGATAGGGACTTGGAGACACTGAGCACTGGCCTCTCTCCAGACACTACAGAAACCCACCTGAAGCTTTGCTAGAGCAGGTAACACCCGCAGGGCCACTGTCGGGGGAGAGCACGGAATGGCCAGCAGTAGGATAGACAGGGGCCAGACAGCAGACAGAATGCAGGAGCCGCAGGACAGATGACCAGACAGGACAACACAACACGTGTGCCGCACGTCACACACACCTTCTCTCCTCTCTCCACACCTCTCCTTGGAAGCAGCACGGGGTCTGTGTCTACGACCTTCCACAGACAGGCTGGGATGGGTAAAAGGGAGGCAGACCCGACGGTGTACGGGAACAGAATCAATCCAGTGTTTGGGACTTTAAGAAAAGCCAGCCCTAAAACACTGTGGACAGAGCCCTGAGCCGAGAGACACTTGAAGTCTGCACGGAGAAGCTGGAGTGGAGTCCAAGGGGAGTGGGAGGTGACCCCCTTGGGCACATGCTTGGGCACCCCAAACAATTCGGCTCCCCACCAGGCTGTAAGTCCAGCTCTGAGCCTCCAACATGACAAGGGCAAGGGGAGAGGCCACCGAGCAAGGTCCGACACTGCAGGGACGGCAGAGGTTGAAAGACCACGGCCTCCTCCTCCTCACTCGTGTCAGCTGAAGGACATTTATCGGACGCAGAGCGAGCACAGTGCCGTTATGTTCCGGCAGCGTTCCCGGCTGGTTCCACGGACGCGCTGACTTCCCCTGACCGTCTATAAAGCAGATGTTCCCCCACGTCACAGCCGAGCAGGCCGACTCGGAGCAGCGGAGGGACTTGCTCAAGATCACAGTAGTGGTGGAGCCAGAACAGCAGCAGATCTGGCCCCTCCCAGGGCCACAGCCTCCCCCCTGAACACAGGTGCTCGAGTCTCTCAGGGCGTCCGCAGGGCCACTTTCCTGGAAGTCACCCCAACCTCGGGTGTGTCACCTATGAAAAACCACCCTCCCCACAAGGACAGCAGAGTAGCCTGCCAGACGGGGAGCTCGCCTCCTGCCCTCAGGAACCTCTCCCACTTTCATCCACTCAAACCAGGCTTTTCAGGAAGATCTCTGTGAGGTTCCTGGGAACGAGCTGTCTCCTCTGACCTGGCGACAGCATCTCATCTCTCCTCTTTCAAGAGACAGAAAATGCTGATGTTCGATACTTCTTATCTGGTGTGGCACAAAAAGTGTGTGTTTTGTATGTGTGTGCATGTTTGCCCGTGAGTGCATGCATGGGTGTGCTTTTTTTTATCCTCACCCGAGGATGTTTTTTCCATTTTTTGTTCAGATAGAGTGGGAGGGAGAGAGAGGAAGAGAGAGAAACATCGATGTGAAAGGGACACATCGAGTGGTTGCCACCTGCACGACCCAACCAGGGCAGGGGACAAACTGCAACTGAGGTACATGCCCTTAGTGGGAACCGAACCCGGGTCTCTCTGGACCGCAGGCCGGCGCTCTAACCACTGAGCCAAGCCGGCCAGGGCCATGGTTGTGCTTTTGCGTGAGTTTGTATGTGATACGTGTATGTGTCTCTAAGTGTTTTCATGCGTGCACACGTTTTCACGTGCATGTTATGTGTTGATGTGTGTGCACACCGGAGCAGGGGTTATTCAGTGGAAGCTGCTATAAATTCCTACGCAGTCACAGGTCCTGGAAGCCAGGGGACTTGAGTCTAGTCCTGTCTGCTGTTGACCACCTGCCCTTGAAGATGCTTCCTGTCCCCATGATCTGGTTCTGTTACAGTGGTGCGGGAGCAGGTGGGGGGCACAGCAGGGGTGGTCAGCTCAGACAGCAGAGGGGGTTCTGGTTCTGCACCTCCCCTCCCCCCACCCCCTTATTAACTGGGCTACAGTGGGGGAAGGGAGCCCGCACTCACTTCCCGGGGATCCAGCTGGGGATGAGGTGAGAGCAGAGGGAGGGCTCCTTGGCAAGTCTGTCAGCTGCTGGAGGCGTGTCTGAGAACCAGAGCCCCAGAGCCCGGCGCCTACTCTGCCTGGCAGGGCAGCCTCCTTGGCTTCCCTGAGGTGCCGCTGGAGAAGAGCAAGGTGAGGCACTGTGCAGCTGAGGGTTGGGAGGGTGGCCTCACTGTGGCATTTCCCTGGGGGGAGTCTAGGGGAGCTAAGAAAGCCCCCTCCAAGCCAGCTCATTTATTGTCCCTCTCTGACAATGAGAAGCAGGGGTCAGGCCTCTCTGGGACCCCTGCCAGGGCCTTAGAAGAGGAGGGGCCATCAACAAATGGGGTCTGCTCTGGATGAGACTCAAGTTAGTTAGGAACACTGGCCGTCTCGGGGGAGGGCTTCATGTCTCCAAGGAAGGCAGAGGGGCAGCAGAGCTGGTCCAGGGGTCCACCCGGTCTCTCTGCAGCCCCAATCACCCCTCTGCTGTCAGAGCTGACCACCCCTGCTGTGCCCCCCACCTGCTCCCCACCCGCCAGGCAGCCGGCGCGGTCCTCGGCTGGCGGCTCCACGGGCGCCCTCCACGCGCGGGGACCCTGTCCCGTGGTCTGCCCACCCGCTCCAGGGCATCTGCTCTGGGGTCGATCCGCCGGAACTGAAGTGAGTTCACGTACCAGCCTCTGGACGCACAAACTCAGCCTAATCACCTCTGTTACAAAGAAAGCTCTACCGAGACATGGAGAAAACACCGCCGGCGAGTCTCCCCTCCCACGGGGTCCAGTGCGTGGGGAGACCTCTCCCGGCAGAGTCCTGCTGCCTCCGCCGAAGTTGTCGGAGACCACCAGCCGGACCCACGGACGCGCGGACGCGCGGACACGACCCCCACCGCTGTCACCGGGGAAGGGCCCCCGCGGGGAGCCGGCCGGGGAGGGGCGCCGGGAGGGGCGCGCGGCGCGGGGCAGGGTGCGCAGGGGCTACCTTCTGAATGCGGCCGTCGATGTCCAAGTAGATGGCCTTGGGCCGGTAGCTGGAGGAGCCGGATCCCATCTTGCGCCGGCGGCTGCACTTGGACTTTTTACTGTACTTTCTCGACGCCAGCGCCCGGGGAGGGCGGGAGGAGGCGGAGGGGGCGGCGGCGGAGGGCGCGGGGACCAGCCAACCAGAGCGCCGCCGCGCACCGGGCCTGGTCGCCGCCTCCGCCGGCTCGCGCGGCCTCTGCTGGCGCTCCTCCTCCCGGCCACCGCCTCCCGCCTCCCGCCTCCCGCCTCCCTCCTCCTGCCTCCCTCCTCCTCCTCGCTCCCCTTCTTCCTCCTCCGCTCCCCTCCTCCCGTCTCCCCTCCCTGTTCTCCCCTTCCCCGTCCACCTCCTCCCCTCCTTTCCCTCCCCCTCCGGTCTCCTCCCCTCCGCGCCCCTCCCTCTCCCCGCTCCCTCTTCACGCTCCCTCTCCTCCCTTCCCACATCAAGGCGCACTCTCCTCTGCTTCCGTTGGACTCCAGCCGCCTTGGGGACGGAGCCAAAGGGGCAGTCCATCTCCACGTGCCTTCTGGACAGGTGCCCACAGGCGGCGACCCCTCTGGCCGCAGGGCTGGTCGCCTCCTCCCGCAGAGAGTTGCGCATAGCGACCTCTCCAGGTGGACAGTCAGTCTTCAGCCAGTACCTGGCTGGCCCGGGCCCTGGGCTATGTGTGCTCACCACCCAAACTCAAGCACCACTCAGGACTAGGAACATTCCCCAGGCCCCTTTCCCCGTTCGTTCCATCCGATAGGAAATGGGAAGAATTCTTGTCATTGAGGCACATCCTTTCCTAAGTTTTCTGTACGTTCTCGGGAGCGACAGTTTCTTCTACCTGCCCCCGGAGCTGAGATGGCAACTTTATTTCTGTCCTTAATGTAGCCAGAGCGAGGCTTGCCCAGCTGCCTATTAACTAGTTTCAGAACTGGTCTGCACCCCACCCCCACAGCCTTATTAACTGTCACAGGGAGTGTGGGGCAAGCAGGAAGGGCAAGGAGGGGCGCCAGGCCAATCACAGTGAGGCTGCCTGTGGCCCTCCGGTTCTCTCCCAGTGCGGATGAGTTGCTGGGAGTGCCTGTCGCTTTGGGAAGTGGGTGTCCAACCAGCTGGAGAGTGCACGTAACTGTTTGCTTCTGAGTCCCAAGCCTCTGCCTTCCATCTGCTGAATGTCTGGGCTTTGCCGATGGAGAGCGCGCCTGGGGTCCCCAGGGGACTCCCTTCCAGGCCTGCCCGAGCTAGGCTGGCCACAGCCATGGGCCTTGCCTTTCCCTTCCCTGGCCATCCGGCCTCTCCCTGGCACACAGTCACTGGCTTTCCAGACTCCTGGTCCAGGGCCACCTGGAGCATTGGCCAGGCTGGGGTGCTGGAGAGGGTGGGGCTCCCCATCTTCAGGTGAACCGTCCTCCTCAGCCTTTGGACAGCCCAGCACATGTCATTATGTCCCTTGCCTGCTTATGAGGGCTCTCAAAGAAGGACGGTGGCTTTGCCATCATCCAGTGCACTGAAGGGACCACGTCAGAGCCTGGGCACCATGAGGCTCGCTTAACAAGTGACCGGGGCTGAGATGAGGGAGCCAGGAGGCCTTTGAAGTGTGTGTGTGTGTGTGTGGGGGGGTGAACACGGTTGGTTACAGTTAGTCACTTGACTCACAATTGTGATAATGTGTCTCCAGAAAATTGGAGCGAGCACTATGATTATGTTGAACTCTGTTGTTGAATGTTCTGGTGCTATTTGGCTGAATCCAGCCACTGATTTGTGGGGCTGGTGTGCTGCCTGGCGTGGAAATCTCAGACCCGGCAGATGGCTCATTCATGAGCTTGGTGCTTATTTATTCTCCATGTGTTGTTGTCATCTGACCCAGCCCTCTTGAATCATCTCCTATGGTGGTGCTGCTGCTGCGGAGACACCTACCTGCTGACGGGAGGGTGCAGGTCTGTGACTGAGCGCGTGGCACCACCTGGGCCGGCCTCTTACTCCGCCTGGCTGATCCTGTATTCAGGATAATAATTGCTCCCATCAGTATCCGACTGACTAGTCTGCTTTATGGATATTCAACCAATGACACCGCAGTCCTGGCCCGGACCCGTCTCCAACGGAGCAGCAGTGACTTGCAGCCTTGAGCACCCGGCCTTACAGAGTGCCGGTGCTGGGCACTCACTGGAGAGCACAGACACAGAACCCAGCGGAGGAGCTGGCGTTTTAGTGGGAGACAGACAGATGGGCTAACTCAATGTGACATGTCGCCTGTTGGGTAATAATTAGCACAGAGAAGAGTCATACAGAGACGGGGCTACAGAATGTGGAGTGTAGGGAGCAAGGGGAGGAGTTTATGGGAGGAAAGAACCTTCTAGCAAAGGGAGCAGCCTGGTGCCAAGGTTTCTCATGCAGGAGGTCAGTGTTGCTGGAGGGGAGGGGGGTGTGAGGTCAGAGAGGTGATGGGTTGGCAGGCCCTGAGGGAGGCTATACAAGGGACTTGCCTCCTCCCACCCCCAACCCCGTCAGATGACTCAGCAGGGCAGAAGTGGCCTACTCGGGTTCTCACAGGGTCACTCTGGGCGGACAGTACCCTGGAGGGGGAAGGGCAGCAGGGGACCAGTGACAAGGCAGGAAGTGGTGGGATTTGGAGATTGTTCGAGCCTTTCATTTCTGCTCATTTGTTAGGTTGATGTTCTTCTGGGTTTTGTCCTCCTTCCCTTTCATAGCACGTGTTCTGCCTAAATGTATGCTCCTTCATCCTGCAGGGCCCCGAGGTCAGGTTCCGGAAGCCAGTCCTTTGGTGCCCATGACATTGGCTGGAGGATGCCCCTTGCGTCCTTGACCTGCATTTCTGGTCCTGGCCTGTCCAGCAGGAATGCAGCCAATGGGAGGCCCCAGAACCAAGATAAGAACAAAGAAAACACCTGCCTCTGCCAGGTGTGCTGGGGCCTAGTGGGCTGGAGGCTGGGATCAGGAGCCTCCGGGCAGCAGGAGGCCAGCGGGTCTCTGTGGACTCGATGACTCGGTTTGCATAAACCTGGAGAAGTTATAGGGGGAGCTAGTCCTGGGGAAGGTCCCGGAGGAAGCTTCCAACTGTCTGGAGCATGGGTGTGAGACCCACCCACCTGAGTCTCACAGGGAGGGTGGAGGTGCAGGAGCTCCTGGTGCCCAAGAGCCGCCGGGCTGCTGAGGGCTGGAGCTGGGTCCAGCCCGTTCCCCACCCCCTGTGGGCTGCAGTTTCTTCCGGCACCCTCCTGCCCGCACATAGGCTTGGGCCTGTATACAGAGCTCACTCTGTAATTGCCATAAAGCCCGCACCAAAGGAGGGCTTCACAGTACGCCATGGTGGGAGCCCACTGATAGTCAGAGGGCTGAGCCGAGAGCGTGCGTGAGCAGCCGGGGTTTGCTCCCCAGCTCCCGCTCCGGCTCGCTCTTCGTCCTCCGCAAGGAGCAAAGCCGCGAGGAAGAGGGAGAGGAGGGCCTACCGTGTCCCTGCGGAGGGGGCAGCACCAGTTAGGGTGCAGACGTTGGGAAGGAGGTGGGAGCTCTCAGGGAAAGACTGGAGGGTGACTCCAACAGTGGCTGGGCCTGGCCAGGCAGAGCACCTTCCAGCAGCTCCCCAAATCTGCTCCCAGCGGCACCCCTGGACTGGGTGGGCCAGGAAGTGTGTCAGTAGGCTGCTGCTGATTCAGCCCCGAAAGCATCCTCATCCTATTCTCTCTTGGGTCTAACTGGTGTTTGTAAATGGCTATTCCGAAAAGAATCCAATCGCTTCCTAAGCCAACCAACTCTTCTGAACCAGGGATGGGGAGGGGGGGCGGGGGGGGACAAAAGGCATTTGTCAAACAAGCAAAATGTATTGGTGCCTACTTCGTACAAGACACGGAGCAAGCCTTGTTAAAGGGGATCGGGGCCCCCTAGACTCTGGCGCTCTTCCCTCTGCGGCCACTGTAGAGACACCAGCAGTCAGAATGGCGTTCACTCCCTCTGTGACCCCTGATCCGAGCAAGGACCGTAAAAGCACTTCAGTGCACCTTCCACGTTCGCAGGAGGACGATGTCTTCTCCTCTTCCCACAGGGCTGGGACAGAAGTGTAGGGTCCGATCCATGCCCTCCGCAAGGCTGATGACGTTTTTGCAAGGACGTTACAAAGGGCAGCGAACTGGCAAAGTGGTCCGGGTTTCCAGGAAGAGGTACGTCATCTGCACTGAAGGGAAGCAGCAGCAGAAGGCCGGTGATGGTGCCACCGCTCACGCGGGCACCCCTAGCGCGGTGGTCATCGCTGGACTAACGCTGGACACACCCACAGAAGATCCTTGAACATAAAGCCACGTCTCGCTAAGCAGGAGAGGAAAAGGGCAAATGAAAGGAAGAAACAATGGAGGAGACATAGGAATAAAATAATCTTATGTACAACTTTCATGAAACACTTAAAACGAGCCCTGGCCTGTGTGGCCCAGTGATTGGAGCATCAGCCTGCACATGGGGGGCCGTGGGTTCGATTCCCGGTCAAGGGCACAAACCTGGGTTGCAGGTTTGATCCTGGACCCTAGGTCAGGCGTGTGCAGGAGGCAACCAATCGATGTGTCTCTCACGTGGCTGTTTCTTTCACGCCCCCCGCCCCCCGTTTCTGCTTTCCCTAAAAAAAAAATCAACAGAAAAAATATCCTTGGGTGAGGATTAACAACAACAACAACAAACTTAAAATGAAAAACAATTATAAACTGGTTGGGGACAAGGTGCTTTACATTCTGAAAGTCCGACCATTGGCCTCTTGGAGGAATCGGACTTCTGCACACAGGTAGGGAACTGACCCACACCCGTCAGCTGTCTGACGCTCTGGGACAGCCATTGGCAGGGTGCACCCCGAGTCTGAGAAAGGGTCTGTGTGCCCTAAGCTTCAGCACAAAGGGAGAAAATCCTTGCAGAAAGATGACCACGGCACTGTGTTTCAGGAGCATCTGATTTATACACACTTCTTTCTCTCTGCGGGTTTGGTGATTACAAAATTATGGCCAGCTGTAAATATTTCAGACAATGTAGTAGAAAGGCAAAGTCCCATCTGGATCGGAAGACAGAGATCCGCCCCTTCCTAGTTGCCCCGTGGGTCTTTGACCTGCAGGCTCTCTTATCTATTTAGATAAGATGCACTGTAAGGCGGGTGTTGACATTCCCCAGTGTTGTCTGGTTGTAAACAATGTGAAAACCACCCTTTGGTAGTTGTGCTGTTATTGTGTAGAATTGATGATCCTTAGAAAGTGCTGGGTAACAGTGTGAGCACATTTCCATTCTTCTTTTTTTTTTTCCTAATCCTCACCCGAGGATATTTTTCTATTTATCTTCGAATAGAGTGGGAGGGGGAGAGAGAGAGAGAGAGAGAGAGAGACATCAATGTGAGAGCGACACAGACTGGTTGCCTTCTGCATGACCCTGGCCAGGGCCGGGCACGAACCACAACTGAGGAACGTGCCCTTGGCCAGAATCGAACCTGTGACTCATTGGTCCGCAGGTTGACGCTCTACCTTTGAGCCAGACCCACCAGGGCCATTTCCATTCTTTATTTTGCTGAGTTGCTCTCCATAATGGTCAGCGGTCTGAGCACCTAATTCCAATGCGTGGGTTCCCCACACCAGCAAGCAATTCTCTGACACCAGCTGGTGTCCTATAATTCAACTCAATTCTGACACCATCTGCTTGGAGAGGGTCAGAGCCCACAGATTAAGGACTCAGCCCCATAAGACTGCTCTCCCCCACTTCAGACGCCAAGTGAAAGTCCAGGTTTCTGATCGATCACTACAGATTAGAGGTCTTGATTAATACACTAGAACAGCTCACAGTACTCAGAGAAACATACTCCTTATCAGATCACTGGGTTATTAGAAAAGGATGTAACTCAGGAGCAGACAGAGCAATGCACAGGGCCAGGTGTGGGGAGTGGCAGAGAGCTCACATGTCCTGAATGTCCTGCTCTCTTAAAACAAATGTTTTTCTTTATTGATTTGAGAGAGAGAGGAAGGGAGACGGAGAGAGATGGAAACATCGCTGAGAGAGAACATCGACTGGCCGCCTCCTGCATGCCCCCCACTGGGGATCAGGCCCACAACCTGGGCATGTGCCCTGACTGGGAATTGAACTGGCGACCTCTTGGTGCAGGGTCGACACTCAACCACTGAGCCACACTGGCTGGGCTGTCCTGCTCTCTTTGAATATCCATGTGGCACAAACCTGGCCACTCTCCAAACCCCATCCTTTGAGTTTTCATGGAGGCTCGTTACATACACACCACTGATAGAATCCCTGGTGCTGGTGATGGAGGCACCCCCGCACCCCTTTTCTTTCCACCTCACCACTCCCGAGGGGGCTGAGGTTGAATATTCCAACCCTCTAATTATCTGGTGGTTCCCTTGGCAACTTGCCCCCATCCTTAGGTGACCCAGGTGCTTCCGACAGTTACGTCTTTAACAGAATCTCAGGTGAGATCGAAAGGGGTCTGTGATGAAAACCCAGACACCTTTCTACTATTAGCATCAGGAAACCAAGGGTTTAGCCGCTCTGTGCCTGACACCGGGGCGAAGAGCAAACACGCGTTGCCTGTTGCACATCGCAATGTCGCACGTACAGGTCTATGCCGGGTTGTGCACCCGCCGTCAGAAAACCAGAGTGCCCGTTCACCACACCGCCAGTAAAATAAGACTTAACCCAGTTTACATTCTTCAATCTGATGAAGAGGAAAATGTCTTGTTTCAGCTTGCCTTTCTCTGAGACAGACTCTCGTCTGTGCTCGCACGTGCCTCTTCAGGGCATCCACGTTCTTTGCCCTTTGTTCTGTTTTTAAAGTCTTTTTATTATGGATTTAGACCAGCTGTTTCTGTACAAAGGACAGTACTCCTTGAACGATCATGTTTTTACAAATATCTTTTCCAAGTCGGCGGCTGATCTTTTGGAACCGTAGTCACGGTTTCTCCAAAATGTGGCTTTGTGTGTGTAAGGACGCAAAACGCGGCCACCTTCCCTGTGGGCCTTCTGGATCCTGTCAGCTTAGAGAGGAGAGGTCGTTTAATACGGAAACATTTAGAAAGAAAGAAAAAGTGACCCACATTTACGAAGATCGGGACTAATTATAATTAAATCGTGGCACACTTGCCCAAGGGGAGACCAAGGTGATAACGATGACGGGTGTACACAGGCTAAGGTACAGCGAACCAAGTGTACGCAGGTACCCTCCACGGCACAGCAGAATCCAGGGCGTTTAGGCTCCAGCCATTGGTCCCGGCACAACCCATTCGTCAGCGCGTGGACCGTGGGGACTGTGGGCCCATCCCGCCCCTGCTCCCGAGTTTGCAGGCCAGCGACGGTTGGACCAACCTGGGAAGAGACTATGAAGGGGCTGTGTTGAGGTGGTGGGGTTTTAGGCATTTTTTTTTCCAAAACACATTTCAAATGCTGGGATGTTATTTTTTTCCATGAAACCGGGAAAAAAAGAAGTGTAAAAGTGATAAAATTGTCAGGGAAGGAGCAGTTTCCTCCCACAGTTTTAGAAGTGGCTGCATAGGGAAGGAGGCGTCTCTTCATCAGTGTGGGGCTGTGACCCCAGGGGCGGAGCAGATATCGAGTCGCTTTATTGCTGTGGTGTGGGGTCAGCCGGCTTCCCAGGCCCTCGCTGGCCTCCCAACCCCCTTCCTGCGACAGTGACGGCCTTGGTGCAAGCTGGAGGGTCAGACCCTGTTGCTCTCTGGTCCATTTCTGTGGTGTCCCGCCCGGTCCCCTGCTTCCCCTTGACTCTCATCCCTGTCACACGGGCACCCCAGATCGTCCTATTGGGCTGATCTGCCCACGTCACTTCCCTGGACGGCCTTGTGGGGACCCCCCTCGCCTCCCAGTGTGGCCCCCCAGGCATCTATTGTTTACTGGGTCCTTCTCTGCCCCTCTTCTGCCAAAGACGCCAGGCACTCGCTGGCACATCCGTGGCTGTGCCCCTTGTTTCAACCCAGAGAACGTCCCTCTTTCTCTCCTCACCGCGATCACCTCTTTTTTAAGACCCATTAAGGTGTCACCTTCACGATGCCACCTTCCCAGAGCCCCCGGCTCTTTGCAGCGGGTGGGGCGCCCTCCGCAGGGCCCCGGACACCCGCACACCTATGTGAGCTCCGCGGTGCGGCCCGTCCTCCCCGAGCCTCTGACTTCGCATGACGGCGTGGGGGTGACAAGCGCTGGCCTGGAGCGTGCCGGGGACAGTGTGTGGACACCCGCAGCCCTGGAGCGCAGAGGGAGCACGGCTGCTATGCGTCTGTCAGGCGAGGAAGCACTGCCAGCACCCCGGTCACCGCCCTGTCCAGCTCACTGTGACCTTGGGGGGGCGCGGTCCTGGGGTCTCCGCGACAGGGACCCGCCCGCCCGCGTGGCCTCACCGTCCTCTGTGGCGCAGTGGCTGGCGTCCTTCGCTCCTGGCCTGCTGGTCTCTGACCTTGGCTGAATCAGCACTCAAGCCGGCCCTGAGAGCCACGCTCCCTGCCCCTCAACTGAAGTGCTTCTTCGGAGTTTCTGAGAGGAAAGGGCTGCCCCGAGCTGACCCCCGAGGCCTGGAGCCCTCCAGCCCCTGTGAGGGACGAGTTTCCTGCCGGCCCACGGCGCTGGGGCCCGGCACACTGCGGCCGGTGGAGACGCGCACGCGGAGAACACACGGGCCCTGCTTGGTGGCCGGCTCCCACGCGGCCAAGTGGCGGGGCTCAGCCTCTGTGGGCTGGGAAGGGGCTGTCTGGGCTGGGCCTCCCCGCAGCGCCGCGTCCAGCCGCCGGTGTCCGTCTGTGGCATAGACCAGCGCGGGCTGGCTGCTGTCACGCTGAGGCCCCACAAATGCGCTTGAGACTTGCAAAGGCTTTCAAGTGACCTCGGCTGGCCTTAGGCTCCAAGGTCCTGTGTGAGTGTGACTGAGGGACACCCTGGGCGGGGGAGCTCACGGCCCTTTAGCTGCAGAAAGACCCCAACCCCTCCAGGCTTCGGTTCCCGGGCTCAGACGACAGGCAGAGCGGAAGAGCTCGTTCCGGCCCCGGAGCTGTGCCAGTGTGAGGGAGACAGAGAACATCACTGAGGACTGGAGGAGGCCCCGAATGGGACAAAGTGGGGCGAGGTAGGCGGTTTGGCTACTTCAGGCGATTCTGGGAACTGCCAGGAAGACCTCATTTCTGCAGTAGGCACTTCCTCCCTAAATTCTTTGGCAAGGGGGGAAAAGGCCGCCCACCAGCCACCAACCCAGCAGGCTGGGTCCTTCCCATTGGGCTCGGGGACAGTACTGGGAGAGCTGGTGGGCTGCTGAGTCTGTCTGTCCTCAGCTTCCCCGCTGCAGGGGCCCCCAAGGTGTCCAGGCGTGTGGAGCAGCCCCAGGC